TACACAAATAATTTATATATAATAATAAACTAATAAATATACTTGTATTACAACGTGTTTCCCATCAATAGCTCCTATGCAATGTGGAAAGTTCCATCTTTTAAAGAATTCATCTTCAATCTTTATCCAATCTTGTTGAGAGGGTTGTTCTAAAACCTGAGGTTGCAGAACTTCCCAAATAGCTTCGCATGTTTCTTGTATTATACCAGAAACAGTACTTTTGCCTATACGGTATGACATCGCAAGTAATGCCATCAAATCGCCAGATGCTAAATATCTATAAAAAATTGATCCTTAAAGTAAATAAAGAAGCATATTGTTACGCCCGCTTCGCACGATCTCACTCACGAGAGCGACGCGCACTCCCGAGCCGCGGAAAGGATTGGACACAAAGGATGGTTAAAAGGAAACAACGGTCTTTATTGCAGAGGTCGATACAGCTCGTAGATATCACGATATGCGTCAGAATAAGAACCCTCGAAAAGGCGATGGAGAGAACACGTCCGTAAGTGTCGACGTTTCTCCAAGATCTGCCGGACGATCTCAATCAACAACGGCGCGTCCCCTTGACAACGCGACACCAGAATCGGCAAAGCGTAGCAGGCGGCGGCGTAACACTATATATATATCTCAAGAAAAACTAAATACAACATATTATGTTAATATACCTTAATGTTATTAATAGTCGAATATCAGGCGGAATTGGTTGTCGTAAAAATGTTTTTTGTTAAAAATTTTTGTTTTTCTATAATTGGTCCAACTAAGTGGAGTAGTCTATCAAAAGTATTAGGTATCATTCGAGTATAATTAAAGTACCAATTTAGGTCTCCAAGACGCATTTCTTGTACTAATATAGAAGCTTTACCTCTTATTTCTCGTTCACGAATGCATGGTCTAATCCATAGTCTTTGTTTCTTTTTAGATCGATTTTGCTTTATTTTATTAATTTTCCATTGTTGTATAATTAATAAGATTGTTAACAAATCTTTTTTCCGTTTTAATTGCGTACAGACATCCATTTTCCAAGACGACTAAAGCATATAAGAATATATTGCAGGTTATCAGTTTTGAGAAGAATAAGAAAATTATTTTTTTGCTGCTTTTCTGATCTTTGTTGCTGCCTGAGTGGTTTTTTGGCTTTGGAGTCGAAAGTCTTTGCCACTAGAGGTTTTTTTAACCTTCGATAGATTTTTAGTTTGAGCTGCAGGTTATGTTGCATTATCATACGAATCATTAAATCGTGCACAATGTGAACAGCTTCAAAGCGTACGACAAGCTCATCGTACGACAAAATATTGTTAGCTATATATCTAGAAAACAAGCTGTCCTATTGGATATCGTACCATCGTACGTCGTATGTCGTACGCAATGTGAATCCTACATTAGAATTTTTTTTTCCCTCATGGTTACCAATTGTAGTGGCGAACGCTCTTTTTCCAAACTAAACCGAATAAAAAATGAGATTAGGAGTTCTATGACCCAGGAAAGGTTGAACTATTTATCGTTGATGAGTATTGAAAGTGATATATTAATGAAGTTGGACTTTGAGGAAGTAATTGAAGATTTCGCTCGTCAAAAATCAAGAAAGAAGCCACTATAATAAAT